GAACCTGCATCCCCAGCATTGGAAGGTGGATTCTTAATCACTGGACTGCCAGGGAAGTCCCAGTAGGTCCTTATTGTTTATCTGTTTTATATAGAGTAGTATATATCTGTTAATCCCAAACTCTCAATTTATTCTTCCTCCTTTTTTCCCTTAGGTCACCATAAGTTTGTTTTCTATGTCTGTGAGTCTGTTTATGTTTTGTAAATAAACTCATTTGTATCTCTTTTGTTGTGGATTCTGCATATGAATGATATCCTATGATATTTATTTTCCTCTGAGCTAGGTTTTTGGCTGCCCAGTATGTAGGATCTTAGTTCCCAACCAGGGATCAAACCTGTGCCTCCTGCAGTGGAAGCACACAGTCTTAACCACTGGAGCATCATGGAATTCCCTGAGTTGGCTTTTTAATTCATTTTTTTGACAAATATTTATCGGTCACCTGGCACCCAGTAGGTGCCAGGCACTGGGTTGGAGCTATGGACATGATGGTAGAGAAAAGAAGGCATGATCCCTGCCCTCTTGGAGCTTAGGAGAGAGGGTTACCTGAGTAATCAGGTAAAGATATTTATAACTTCAAGTGTGACGACTTCAAGAACAGGGAAGAACATGGTGCCATGAGGGACGATTCCTGGGGAGTCTCACCTCTCCAGGGAAGTCAGAGCAGCTTCCTGAGGAATCTGAGTTAAAGAGTCGCGACAGGGAGCATGGGTGAGAGTTTGCTAAGTGAGGGAGGGAAGAAGGATGTTTTCGGAGGGAACAATGCCTGGGGGCTCTTGGGTGGCTGTGTGGTAGGTATTTTCAAGGAACTCCAAGAAGACAGTGTGACTCGAGCAGGGAGGGCAGGAGATAAAACCAGAAGAGTGGGTCGACGCCAGGCCACAGAAGGCCCTGGAAGCAGGCCTGGTATTCAGCCAGTCTGCTCCAGTGTAACACTCTTCTGAAAAGTGTGACAGTGTTAGTCGCTGTCGTGTCTGACTCTTTGAGACCCCATGGACTGTGGCCCGCCAGGCTCCTCTGTCTATGGGATTCTCCAGGCATGAATACTGGAGTGGGTTGCCATTCCCTCCTCTAGGGGATCCTCCTGACCCAGGGATCGAACCGGGGTCTCCCGCATTTTGTGCAGATTCTTTACCGTCTGAGCCACTAGGTAAGTCCAACACTCTTCTGAAGCGGATGGTAAATAGCTCCTGCGCTAAGCTCCTGAGTACCACTCCAAGATGCTGGCGTCTGTTCTGATGGTCAGTAACTGCACAGTGTTGGTTGCTAAATATTTAGATTTTTTTTTTTTTTGGACTGCACCAGGTCTTTTAGTTGTAGCACACAGGATCTTCGATCTCTGGTTCCAGCATGCAGGACCTTTCACTGTTCTTTGTGAATGCTTAGTTGTGCCATGTGCGATCCAGTTCCCTGGCCAGGGATTAAACCAAGGCCCCCTGCACTGGGAGTGCAGAGTTTTAACCACTGGACCACCAGGGATGTCCCTATTTAGACTATTTTGAATACAACCCCTGCTTATAGGGCATGTAAGAGGTTAGTGTTTATTCCGAGAATAATGGGATATCTTTGAAGATGGTGGCATGACCAGATACATGTTTCGAAAACACCAGTTCAATTGCAGTGTGAATAACAGAATGAGAAAGTGGCAAAGTGGAGATGGGAGACCAGTTAGTAGTCTTTTTTTTTTTAATTGATGTAAAGTTGATTTCCAATGTTGTGTAAGTTTCAGGTATACAGCAAAATGATTCAGCTATATATATTATATATTTTCAGATTCTTTTCCCTTATAGGTTATTACAGAATATAAAGGATAGTTCCCTATGCTATACAGTAGGTCCTTATTGATTATCTATTTTATATATTAGTATATTAATTAATATATATTAATTAGTATATATTAATCCCAAACCCCTAACTTATCCCTCCTCCCAATTAATAGAGGGCTTCACAGGTGAATCAGTGGTAAAGAATCTGCCTGCCAATGCAGGAGACACAGGTTTGATCCCTGGGTTGGGTCGATACTCCAGAGGACAAAATGGCAACCCATTCCAGTATTCTTGCCTGGGAAATCCCTTGAACAGAGGTGCCTGGAAGGCTACAATCCACGGGGTCACAAAGAGTCAGACACAACTGAAGTGACTGATCATGCCTGCATGCCAGTTAACAGACTCTTGTTCACCCGGTCGTGTGTTAGAGTGGTAACTGGGGTTGAGATGGAGAGAAACAGGTTCAAGAGATAAAAAATCCCAGCAGGCTTTCTTACAGAAATCGACAAACTGATTCTAAAATCTATAAGGAAACACAAAAGGTCTCAGATCACCAGAATGATTTTCAGAAAGAACAAAGTTGAAGGACTTACAACCTGATTGCAAATCTTTCCATAAAGGTACATCAATTAATTGAGTGTTATATTGGCAGAAGGATAAACATGGATTTATGAATTGACGTTTTCTGAATTTCCTTTTCCGGATTGTTCACTGCTAGTATGTTGAAGTACACCTGATTTTTGCACGTTGATTTTATATCCTTAAAGTTTGTCAAATTCATTTATTAGCTAGCTCTAAACTTTTTTTGTGGATTCCTTAGAGTTTCTACATAAAACACCATGCCGTCCTTGAAGGGAGATAGCTTTACTTCTTTCTTTCCAATTTGGAGGTATTTTATTTCTCTTTATTGTCTGACTACTCTTGGTTCAAATTTCCAGTACTGTGTTGAATGGAAGTGGTGAGAGTGGGCATCCTTGTTTTTGATCTTGGGAGAAAAGCTTTCAGTGTTTCACCATTGACTATGTTGTTGTTTAGTCGATAAGTTATGTCCCACTCTTTGCAACCCCATGGACTATAGACCCCCAGGCTCCTCTGTCTGTAGGATTTCCCAGGCAAGAACACTGGAGTGGGTTGCCATTTCCTTCTTCAGGGGATCTTCCCAACCCAGGGCTCAAAACTGCTTCTCCTGCGGTTCCTGCATTAGCAGGAGGATTCTTTACTGCTGAGCCACCAGGGAAACTCCACTGAGTATGTTAGCTGTGGGCTTTTAATATATGGCCTTTATCCTGTTTATTTCTAGTTTATGAGGTTTTTTTTTCATCATGAAAGGTATTGGAATTTGCCAAATGCTTTTCCTCATCTTGTATATATGATGTGATGTTGTATAGGAGATGATCATGTTTTTTTCCCTTCATTCTATCACTGTGGTGTACTACACTGATTGATGTTCTTATGTTGATCTATTCTGGCATTCCTGGGGTAAATCCCACTGACCAACTGATCTTTGACAAAGGCCCCAAGGTAATTCAGTGGAGACAGGATAATTGTTCAATGAATGGTGCTCACAAAGTTGGACATGCTTGTGGAATAAAAAGAAACTTTGACCCTAACCTCACACCATAATAAAGAAAAAAAAAATGTCAGATTTTCTGTGGGGCAGGAATTTAAGAGTGGCTTAGCTGAGTGGCTCTGGTTCAGGGTCTGTTATGTGGTTCCAATCAGGAGGTCAGCTGAGGCTGCAGTCATCTGAAGGCTTGATTGGGGTTGGAGGATGCCCTTCAGAGATGGTGAACTCACGTGGCTGTTGGCAGGAAGCCTCAGGTTCTCACTCAAGGAGATTTCCTTGCAGCATGGCAGCTGCCTCTCCACAGAGTAAGCTGTCCACAAGAGGGAACAAGGAAGAACACAGCATCTGTCACAGCCAGGTCTCCTATCATCACTTCCCATTTAATCTGTTTATTAGAAGCGAGTCACTGAGTTCAACACACACTCCAGGGGAGAGGAATTTGACCCCACCTCTTAATGGGAGGGGGCTTCCCTTGTGGCTCAGCTGGTAACAGATCCGCCTGCAATGCGGGAGACCTGGGTTTGATCCCTGGGTGGGGAAGATCCCCTGGAGAAGGGAAAGGCTACCCACTCCAGTATTCTGGCCTAGAGAATTCCATGGACTAGGGTTGCAAAGAGTTGGACATGACTGAGTGACTTTCACTTTCACTTAACGGGAGGAGCACAAAACCTTTATGGACATATATGAAAGCTACCACATGGAATATTACCTCCAGGGATAACTACAGTTCAGAGGTTGCCATCTCTCTGGGTAGAGAGAAGTGAGATACAGCACATAAACTATTGTACAGTTTTACCTATGTGAATAACATGTTTTAAAGAATGACAGCTGATTTTGGTAGAACCCATATCATTACTGTCTTTAAAATTAGAGAAAGAAGCAAAACTCTTTGCATCTTATTATTTTCTTTAAGGCTATCAATCAGGATAAAAAACTGACATACTCAGAAAATTCATCTCTCAACAAAGTGCTGCTTTCAGATAAGCTTATTGAAAATAATCTTAATATACTTTATGTAATGAGCAGCGCCCTAACATACTGATTATCCATTATAGTTGCAATTGGAAATGTTTTAACATTATTCATTAGCATATTGAACTCCCTGTGTGTTAAGTGTGTATATATAAGGTAAAAGTTTTGAGAACTTTAAATCCAGGCTAAAGAAATTCTTAAGAAATCCTTTTTAGAACAATTTGTTTTGCATTCTTTTTTGACATCTATTTCAGTCCCCAGTTTCTGTTACTAAAAAGTATTCATTGAGTTCTGATTTGATATCATGCTTTTCCTGCAATAACTATTCCATATTCAAATGTTTTGGCTAAAAAATTGCCCCAAAAAAGGCACCTGTTTTTTCACATGCATATAGCCTTAACCATTTCTTCTCTCTAAACAGCAAGAAATCCTAATTAATGTGAACATAATAATTTTTCTTCTACAATATTTCCATTATATTTAACTTCTTTTTCCCTGTCTCTAACATAGGATCAAGAATCTTTATTTTACCACAGGAGAAAATCTTCAGGATCTAGGACTGAAGGGTTCCTCGACTTGACCTCAGAAGCACCATGCACAGAGTAAATCGGATAAACTGGATATCATCCACATGAAAACCATTTGCTTTTTGAAAGACAAGAGGATCCTCTTTTCCGGTTATCACGGTGTAGGGAACCATGAGCAGCAAAGTCTCCCGCGACACCCTCTACGAGGCGGTGCGGGAAGTCCTGCACGGGAACCAGCGCAAGCGCAGGAAGTTTTTGGAGACTGTGGAGCTTCAGATCAGCCTGAAGAACTATGACCCTCAGAAGGACAAACGCTTCTCGGGCACCGTCAGGCTTAAGTCCACTCCCCGCCCCAAGTTCTCCGTGTGTGTCTTAGGGGACCAGCAGCACTGTGATGAGGCCAAGGCTGTGGATATTCCGCACATGGACACTGAGGCACTGAAGAAACTCAACAAGAATAAGAAACTGGTCAAGAAGATGGCCAAGAAATATGATGCCTTTTTGGCTTCAGAGTCTCTGACCAAGCAGATCCCCCGAATCCTGGGCCCAGGCCTGAACAAGGCTGGCAAGTTCCCTTCCTTGCTGACCCACAATGAGAACATGGTGGCCAAAGTTGATGAAGTGAAGTCCACGATCAAGTTCCAGATGAAGAAGGTGCTGTGTCTGGCAGTGGCTGTTGGCCACGTGAAGATGACAGATGATGAGCTTGTGTACAACATCCACTTAGCTGTATACTTCCTGGTGTCATTGCTCAAGAAAAATTGGCAGAACGTCAGGGCCTTGTACATTAAGAGCACCGTGGGCAAGCCCCAGCGTCTCTACTAAGGCACAGCTTAATAAACCATACTAAACCAAAAAAAAAAAAAGAAAGACAAGAGGAGGAAAAGACAAGAAGTCTAGAATTGAATGCAGCAGTGATAAAAACCATAAGAACCTGTGCTTACCTTAGAGGTCCAAACAAAGTACTATGAAAATACAAAGGACAATGAGATTAATTTCAGCCAAGGAAATCTGGAAAGTCTGATGAAGTAAGAACCAAACTAGGAATCAAAAGACAAGTCAGTAGGATTGTAACAGATGGACCCAAGAGTGAGAAAAGCATCTAAGATAGAATCAGCAAAAGCTAGAAGGAAGGAAGGGCTTCCCTGGTGGTTCAGTCAGTAAACAATGTGCTTACAATGCAGGAGACCCGGGTTCAACCCCTGGTTTCGGGAAGATCCCTTGGAGAAGGAAATGGAAACCCACTCCAGTATTCTTGCCTGGAGAATCCCATGGACAGAGAAGGTGAAAGGAATGATACAGGTGTGGGAAAACATTGTAGTAAAGGAAAGGATGGGCTTCCCTGGTGGCTCAGATGGCAAAGAATCTGCCTGCAGTGCAGGAGACCCAGGCTCCATCCCTGGGTTGGGAAGATCCTCTGGAGAAGGAAATGGCAATCCAGTCCAGTATTCTTGCCTGGGAAATTCCATGGACAGAGAAGCCTAGTGGGCTATAATGGGGTCTCAAGAGTTGGACACAACTTAGCGACTAAACCATCACCACTACCAGAAGGAAGGAAAGCGCAAGAATGTTGATACCATGAGTGACCCAGTGTAAATTCCAGGGTATGGGAGGAGAAAAGTGGGGAGTGAGCCTGGATAGGGGATTGGGGACAAATTATGGAAACCAGTGTAGTGGAGACAGAGCCCTGTTCCCAAATAGCTCACAGCTAGAAAATGCTGGTTCTGGGAAGAGGTGCAGAGAATGCTCACAGATGTGAACTCTGGATGTCCAGAAAGATGGGATTGTTTGGCCAGGGGCCATCATGCAAGACACCCGTCTGCTCCTGCTGCAGGGGAGCCAGAGGGAGTTATGTGTGACACCTTCTGTGTGCGCCCCCTCTTCTGTCTGCTGTCAGGCCCAAGCCTGGGTACCTGAGTCTGTCTGTTCCCCACGGGTGTCTCTTCCTTGCTTCTTCCCATAGTCATTCTCAGACCAAGGGTGGAGCTGGAGAGGCTCCTTACAGCAGCTAGTGGGGTTGACCCCACTCAGTGCAAGATGAGAGCCACCCTGTGGCCCATGTCTGAGCTGTGGCATTGTAGCTGCAAGAGGGGAAAGTAGATCAGTTAGCAAATGGTTTATGAAGTGCTCACTCAAGAAACAGTCACAGTCAATGCTTTATTTTTCCCAACTCTCGAAACCCCGGGATTTCAAACAATCACAATATTTTTGACCATTAGAGTGTGTTTATACCTGCTCTTTACATCTCCTCGCCTAATTCTATCAGGAACTTAAGCATCTGTGGTTCAAAGTATATTTTACCCCACTGCCCACTTCTTCCACTTGGCTTTGCTGGCATGTTCAGAATAGAAATCAGTTTGCATCATCCAGGTAGCGTGGGCTAATTTAAAGGCAAGTAAGTCAGCAAACTTAACAACGATAAGGGAACCAGATTGCTGGATATTTACCTAGTTCCAATCTTTAAAAGGCCAGGGTGGCTGGAAGAGAGAAAGAAAATATCATTGACAAAAGAATGAGAAAGAGGGACTAGCTTCCCACACAGGAGGAAAGTCTGAAGGCTTCCTTGGGATATTTAGTAGCTGGTTTCCCACCTGTCTTCTGTCTCTTACTCACCTACCAAGTTATGGGGCAGCTGGGAGGGCAGGAGTGGGTGTAATTCTTGTTCTCATCATGGTACACTGAACTACTTAGGCTCACAGCAGCAGACTTGAACGCCATGGCGTTGATAGAAAAGCCAAACACCTGCCAATGGCCTTGTGGCTGCTGGGGTGCAACAGTGGCTGATGTCATTGACTTCAGTTTCTGGGACATTATCAGCAAAAATAAAATGTAACTCTCATTGTACAAAAAACTGTTTGCTTCCTGAATTTATTCTGCTCTCAAAGCTAGCCAGGAGCTCCTTATCCAGATTCTAAGTCTGAACTGAATTTTTTTATTTAATTACATACATTTTTTAAAATTAAATTTAAAAAGTTAAATACATTTTTTTTTTCAAAGTCAGAGAAAGTCTGCAAATTTGAGAGAGCTTGCTTCACTTCTCTTCCACAGAAAAAAACTAATGGAGTGGGAAGTAAAATAATTTCTCTCACAAAATGGTAGTATAATATCTTTTTTGATTATTATCTGTTCATTGAGAACTCGGGCCTACAGTCTCCTTTGATGTTCATTTCTTTTTTACCCCCAAAGTGAATGTTGAGCCATAAAGCAAATGACCTTCCAGACCAAGAAAACCTAGCTCTAAGGTCATTGGAATTTCTTCAATTCTCTGTACACATTCTCAAAATACTATTGCTTTTCTTTTAAAATGTATCATAAACAAATAGTGTTGAAGGGCTATAAAGTTTTTCTTGGCACAAATGTGGTATGACCTGGAAAACACACTTCATCATTCACAACAAGAATGTCCTCTCCAATTTATGCCAATAAAAACTTGGAATAATCCAAGATATACTTTACATGTATTACATTACATACAAGAATAGTGGCTCTAAATTGGAAACCCCATTTTTGGCAATCGAAAAAGAAAGTTCAAGGTGAAAGGCAATTTCTCAGCGGACTTCTGGCCAGAATTTATGCAAAAATATGAGGATACAGTAGAGTAAGAGGCGGAGGAAACTTCAGAGAGAAGATGACATGGGATTAGGGGTCCGGAGAATGACTCAGGGAGAAAGAAATAGTAAGTAGGACATTCTCAACAGAAGTCTCTACCAGGAGCCCCCACACTTCCTGGGGGGATCCCCTTGGGTTGTCACTGTGGCTGCAATCCAAGGTCCAGGAAGAGATGTGGCTGGAAGGGATACTGGGAAGGGAGGCAGAGGTCACGCTGTGAACATTATCATTGAATGTCTTCCTTAGGGATGTGAAACCATTGAGAGATTTTTGTTGAATAATGACAATAATGTGCCAAATGCTTTCTGTGTGTCAGGCATCCAACACCATGAAATGCTACAGCCCACCTTTATTTTTTTTATATTTAAAATAGAATATTTTATTTATTTTTCCATTTATTTTTATTAGTTGGAGGCTAATTACTTTACAGTATTGTAGTGGTTTTTGCCATACATTGACCTGAATCCGCCATGGGTGTACATGTGTTCCCCATCCTGATCCCCCCTCCCGCCTCCCTCCCCATCCCATCCCTCTGGGTCTTCCCAGTGCACCAGCCCTGAGCACTTGTCTCATGCATCCAACCTGGGCTGGCGATCTGTTTCACCCTTGATTGTATACTTGTTTCAGTGCTATTCTTTCAGAACATCTCACCCTCGCCTTTTCCCACAGAGTTCCAAAGTCTGTTCTGTACATCTGTGTCTCTTTTTCTGTTTTGCATATAGGGTTATTGTTACCATCTTTTAAAATTCCATATGTATGCATTAGTATAATGTATTGGTCTTTATCTTTCTGGCTTACTTCACTCTGTATAATGGGCTCCAGTTTCATCCATCTCATTAGAACTGATTCAAATGAATTCTTTTTAATGGCTGAGTAATTTTCCATGGTGTGTATGTACCATAGCTTCCTTTTCCATTCGTCTGCTGATGGGCAAGTAGGTTGCTTCCATGTCCTGGCTATTATAAACAGTGTACAGCTCACCTTTAAAAACCATTCTATACAGTGTAAACTGTTCCCATTATACAGGTGAAGAAGTTGAGGCAGAGACCGGTGAAATAGCTTTTGCAGGGTCCAACAGCCGTTAAGTGGTGGGGTCAACTCAGATCATCTAACCCCAGAGCCCATGCTCTTCTGCTTCTTAAGGAAGTCACTATCATATTCTGGGGTGGTGGTGGGGAACACAACTCCATGGCTACATGGAGGATGAGTTAGGAGAGAGGAGGCAGCAAGACCAGCAGAAGGCCATTGCAGCAGCGCAAATGAAAGCTAAGACAGGTCTTAACTAGATAGGGTTTAATGAACCAGTGGACATGGAGGTTGAAAAAGAGGGCAGAATAAATATAGCTGAGGCATCAAATTTTATACATATATATCTCCTGTTGGTTCCGCTTCTATACATCTGTATCTTTGGCGTATCTCCTATTGCTTCTGTTTCTCTGGGGAACCTTGACGAATACAGTCCTGTATCACAAACTTGTGTAAGAATGTCTTCTAAAAGCTCACCCAGTGAGTGTGTGTGCGTGGGGGGAGGGGGGAGAAGGAGTGATGGAGTTGGAATTCACATTATGCAGAGGAAAAGAAAGGTTTCACTGAGGAAATTCCATTTAAGGTAGACCCAGAAGAATGAATTGTACTGGGGTGAGCAGTGATTCTCTTGTCTGTGCTAGGCTCAGTTGTGTCCAACTCTTTGCGACGCCATGGACTGTAGCCCGCCAGGCTCCTCTGTCCATGGGTTTTTCCAGGCAAGAACACTGCAGTGGGTTACCATTTATTTCCTCCTCCAGGGGATCGTCCTGAACCAAGGATCAAACCTGCATCTCTTGTGTCTCCTGCCTGGTAGGCGGATTCTTTACCACTGTGCCACCTGGAGGTAAGCAGTGACTGGGGAATAACTGATACAGAAAGTGTGGTTAGAAGAGGAAACACACAGAGACCGTTCAGGAGTCCAGTTTGGATCTGGCTTGGTATGTGTAAGAAACCAGAGGAATAAGTCCATTGAAGCTGAGGTGTGGAGGGTGTTTTAATACTAGGAATGACATGTTTGTCATTCTTTTTGCAGGATATAGGGAATCATTAAAGACTTTTGAGCAGGAAAGTGACATCACTGGGTTTCATAGGGTAAACAATCCCCACTAATCCATGAGTTGGGTTCTAACTATTTTTTCAATAGACTATGTACCAGAAACTATGATAAATACTGTATGTATAGTAATAAA